AAAAAAAGAGAGATCTAAGAGCCAGATTGGTACCCATCCTGCTAAAGGAAGTGGATTTATTACCCAGGCTTTCTTCTAGGGACTTTTTTCAAATCTTGCAGTCCTTGTTCTTCTATTTTGTCAGAAGTAGAGATGCTATTCCCTGAACTCTATTGGAAAACGTAGATGTTGGGAAAAAAAAGCTTTCCTTTGTCAGATGCCAACTGTGAAAACTGGGAAGAAAGCTACAGCTGGGGGATGTTAGGAAGCCCTGGTGTGTTTGTGGTTCAGCCCAGGTCATTCTGCAGAATAAAGGTTGTATTTCCCTTTCTTGGCCCTACATGACATTGCTGTTGCTCCCCTCACCTTCTTGGCAGGGCACTATCACCTCTGTGCCCCACGTCRCTGACGTTCTTGCAGCTCAAAAGTTAGCAGTGAATACAGAGAGTGCAGACAGCAGTTTGCAATGAGATGTGAGGGACATGAAGGCAGAGAGGAAAAAGCAGGACCTTACAAATGCTGCATTTGCTCATCAAGCGAGATCCTGTGACTCACAATGCAACAGGCRGAGCTGAGCTATGTTGCAGGGATTTTGACTGTTGCATGCCAACAGCTGGGACCAGGTCTGCTGAGGTTTGGAGGAAGGATGAAGGCCAATGAGATGATGCTGTGCGCGTTCCTGGGATGAGTAATCCTGGTAGTTTGCTCTGACTTTGGCAGAGCCACCCAGGTGAATGAGTTCTTCTGTAAGGCCCCAGACCACTCATATGTAATCCGCCACTTTTCTTTTCAGCGTTTCTTCTCTCCATCAAGTATATGGGAATAGAATCAACAGATTTCAGTGTCAAAGCAACACATGCCATGCACAATAGAAGTGTCTAACYCTGTCTGCATTGCTCTCCTAGTGTACTCCAACACTCCAACCCTTAGGTAATGCCATGTGAACAAATCCACCCATTCAGCTTCTGAGGGGAGCTTTTTGCTTCTAAAACAGTTCAGCACAGTGATGGCTCGTACAAGACATTTTACTGCATCTACAAATGACAGCATTAGGTTTATCTCATCTCCCACAACGCTGAAATGCTGATGGATGCACCACAATTCATTTTCTACTCCCACCCTCCTCCTCCTACACTCCACCTTTTCATTTCACTACTCCTACTTCTGCTCCCATTTTCTACTCCTCTACAATACAATATCTCCTATCAACCTTAGCATCAACTTGTATTTTTTTTTTCAAATTTAAGACCTGAAGATTGCCTTTTATCATCACTGGAATAAAGCAGAGCCTTCTATTCATATTCTAGGCTTGAAGCAGCCAAAATAAAGGATCTGTGCTGTCTTTTCACTACTGTCTGTATAATTCACGTTCTGAGGTTTTGATCAAATTCAGCAGGAGATTGCATGAAGTTGAAAGCACTTGTACTCTATATACAATTCTATTTTTCTACATGTATGTGCATGGTGGTATGTGCATGGTAAGAGAGTACAAATGCTTTAACAGCATAAAAAGCAACAATGAAATACCAAGTTGTGTCTGGTATCCTCAGAGCTGGGAAAATATGATTTTTCTGAGGAAGTATGAGAAACTTCAGCACCCCTGGTTTCCTCCTGTGCTGCTCAGAAGTGACATGATTTGCAGTGCATGTTTCTGAGCAGCCTAAGTTACCAGAAGGCTGGCATGGCACCTCAGTCACGTCCCCTCSGAACCCTGGGTGGCTGAGGGCTGCCCCACACGGAATGGTTTGGACATGTCTTGGCTGAACAAGGCATTTGCACTGCCCTGCTAAGGGAATTCAAATGGTCTGGTGCTCTCCCAACCCATCTGARGCTTCTTACAGAGCCACAGGAGAAAGACAGTTGCTCTTGCATGGCATTTCGGAGCAGGASCTTTGATGCTGTGAGTTGCTTCCTGGGGCTGTACATCTCTCCCCACCAACCGCACAAACCACAGATGGAATTTAAAGATCTGCTGATCCCTCACCACAATTTGGGGAGCCCACTCCCTTTCCACCTGCCCTTTGCCTCCAGCCTCAGACAACAGCACCCAGGGTCAGAGTCTGTCTGGCCCAGAGAGAGATGGCTGTCACATTTAGGGTCACACCAAGGTCACAGGAGAGAAATGTGTTCTCCCCRTGGGTGATTCACCACCCCAGATGGTGGAGCTGATCAGACACTGAGATGCCAGGCTCTTACTCCAGGTGGTTCACATTCACTTTCAGCTAGCTGCCTTCAGGCCAGCAAATCCCACTCATCCCACTTTATAGCGCATGGGAAATGCATAATCTCTGACCCCTCTGCCATTGTATCAACAGTGAGGAAAGGGCTGTGCATTCAAAGGCTTACAGGCTAACAGGGCACTGCAGAGAGGTGGCAGAGCAAGGGCAAAATGATTCGTCCTGCTTTGCAGGGGGAAAAGCTGCCCACCATTAATTCACAGAATGTGCAGTGGACCTCACAGGGGATGCATAGGCAGAGACCAAGGACTTTAAGCCTAAGGACTAAAAAAACTCATGTCACCAAAGAGTTGTTAGGATACTTGCTGGTGAGGGGTTTGAAATTATCTTGATTTAGATCCATCTCTTCCTACATGCAGGTAAAAATCCTGAATTCTCCCCATAGAGGCAGAAAGACCCTCCTGGATTTACATCCATATGGCTGAACTGGGGCCATGTGCTGACTGCACTGGTTGCCCACCTCACTGGACATATTTCAGAGTTGAGAATCGACAGATCCTCGCACAATGTGGTGCAACTCCAGTCTCCAGAAAGCCTTCAGGCAGCCCACCCTCTCTTTTTAGAGGAGATGGGAAACTGCTGTTGGTGATGGCAGAGCTGCCCAAACAGCCAGATGCCAGCCCCTTTATCTCCTCATGGACTGCTGTAGAGAGCTGGGCTGCTGTGACTGGGGTTTKCA